GTTACTTTAATAAGACTTCAGTATAACGAGATGATCTACAAAAATTAGCCAATCACAATATATGTTCGCTATGCTCTGTTACTGGCGCAATCTCACCTGCTAATTTTTTGGAGCATATCATCGTTTCAGTTCGATTTACTTACTCATAAGGTATTCTGCGGACTTCATGTCCTTTAATTAAATTTATTTCCGTCACATTTGGATAGCCGGAATTTATCACTACATAACTAGTCGTATTGATGCTTTTCGTGAACATTTTACAATGAAGGGTATGTAAACAAAGAAATGTAAATAATATACTGTATATTTCTGCTAATGTGAATTAATATTTTAGATTCCGATGATAAAAAGAATAAATGGCGAAAATTACAATAATTACAATATAATATAAAATGAAAATTGCTAAATTTACCCTATGTGATAATCACTGATCTGTTATAAAATTTTTTAAAAAAGAGATTTTTTGTTTTATATTCTTAATTACATTAACTAGAATATTGTAAACTTTCTTCAATGAAGAATAATCATTTGTTTCAATATTCTAAATAACTTTTAAATTCTGTAGCATTCAACTACCAGCCTCATCCTTCACACCTTATGCAATAAACAATATAATCCGCACAATATCCATTTAATGTGCGTGACAAATTTATAAGAAGAAAAATAAGAGAAATTATATGAAAGAATAAAAAATAAAAAAAAAAAAAAATAAAATATACTGTATGTATGGTCCGAGCAGCTTATTCGCATCAAATATTTTATATTAAAGTTATAATTTCAATTGTAAAAAAAAAATTTGTAGATTAAGTTTTTTAAGATCTTTTATTACTTTAAAAAAATCAGTTTAAAATTTTTCAGCACAAATATAAAGAAATTCATTATAAAACTCAAACATTAAGATTATAAAGTGTTTGATAAAATTGCTAATTAATAAATTTAAAATCTATCTTTAAACCCAAAGCAATTGTAGACTATATTATTATTTTATTTTTGATACTTTGACCATGAAGTCATGAACTTGGTTAGTTGCCCTATAAATATATTTAATTGATTCTTTGTTTACGAGCTCAACATTGTACTTTCTAAAATATAATATTACAAACAATTTTAGCCCAATTAATGCGATATTTCTTCCTGGACATATTCTTAAACCTCCACCAAATGGCACATATCCATTCCTACACATTTTGCTAAATTCACCGGTGCCTCCGTGTTCTTCACTGAGAAATCGATCGGGATTAAATTTCATTGGTTCATTCCAATATTTAGGATTATTCATTATTCGGTGATTATCAACAAAGAACCATGTTCCAGGTGACCAATGATAACCACCTACACTTTCATAACCGTCAAGCACACGTAAAATAAATGGACCCGGATTCGAATGACGTAACGTTTCTTTGATCAAAGCATCTAAATAGCGACAACTTTCAAGAGCTTCGTAGGTAATTGGTAAGGTTGTATCTGAGCCAAATACTTTAAAGATTTCAGCACGAAGTTTTTCAAGAATTAAAGGATTTTTAGCAACATTAAAGACAAGAAAACAAATGGCAGAGGTGGTCTATTATCAAATATTGATTAAATATTGGTTAGTATTCATATATTTGATTTAAATTCATTAAAATTTTGATAATTACCGTCTCAATAGAAACAGAAGTGACTTCAGCAAGATTAGCTTCAATTTCTTCATCATTCATAGGTTGTTCGCCCTCAATATATTCTTCAGAATAATTTGATGAATTAATAATCAACAATAGGTCTAATAAATTAAAATTTGTCGTCGATCCATTTTTAATTTCATCCCTACGTTTTTTAATAATATTACGGATTGTACCATTCAAGAAAACAGATTTCTTTTTCATAGAATTAAAACCAAACCGCATAAAAATACTGCTAATAATCTTTGGTACAAGCATTAAGAAAGCAAACATTCCAACGTATTGAGCAGCAGCTTTGGAAATTGAATCAAATGATGGCAAGTCATATAATGGTTGCCCAATGACAGTGGTGATTGTTTCTTTTGCTTTATACCAAGATACCCACTCGGAAAAATCCAAGGTTGTAACATCATTTTTATTCAATTGTTCTTCAAGTTCCTTAAATATCTTTTGACAACTACTTATAAATCCAATCTGGTATTTTTTTGACATTAAAACTTTTGTGACAAATTGCCGATTTCGTTTCCATTTATGAGTATCATTATTAAATATTATTCCATTTGCTATTCCAATCTCATCATAAGCGGCCATGCCACGTTTAGAAAACTTTGATTCCTTAGATAAACTTTTTGACTCATTATAAGATAAATAAATTTTATCGACATAATTCGCGTTGCCGGGAACTATAACTCGAAAAGGACCAGCATAAAGTTCCCAAATATCTATAGATGAATTTAAATTTTTTTCTTCCCATTTACGAGGGTCTAATCCAATTTGAAGAAGTGTACCAATAAATGGTAATGGAAATGGTCCAGGGAGAGGATTCGGACGAGTAAAATAGCGATAATAATAGTATATAATATATAACAAAAGAATAATTCCACCAGAGGATAAGAGGTCCATTATTTCGACGATTAAAAATCAAAGACTTTAAAATTTGTTCAAAAATTTTCAAATATATTTAAATTTTTAGTTTCATATCAATCTGTTACACAGTCTGAGTTTGATCTACTATTATCAAACGGCGGAGGAAATGTGCCGCGAAACGGCATACCCGCGCGCATATTTTATAGGTTCTATCCAATAACGATATTATTGTGAATAGAGGTGTGAAATGAACTCAAAAAGGGATACAATAAAGTTATTATATTAATTTCCTTTTTGAAATTCAGTTTGTACCTCTTTGTGAAGCAGTTTTGAATCTATACTAGTTAAATAGAAACCAATTTCCTTTTTTGATTATTACAAGGAAATTTTTTTAACGGCATAGTAATAGTACTACATAGCGATAAGCACACATGATAAACTTATTACCCAGAGTGACTATATTTGGTAAAAAGGATTGTGCGAAATTGAATACGTAGCATTATTAACTACAATGTCTGAACTTTTTAGAATTATATTTATATGAATTTTCAGAGATAACTTGGCAATTTTATATCAAAAAATCAATTGTTAAAACACTTCCGGTGTTACTATCGTAACATTTCTGCTCCCCAAAATTTCGTTATTCCTTATTTTCGCCCCTGTCCATTGTCCCACCTTATTTTCTATGTTTGTCTTGCCCCTTCCTTATTTGTTTCATTATACTCACCATCCGTTATTCCCTAATATGGTTATTTTCTATTATTATCCCGATTGTCCTTTCTATATGCCCGATCTCCGAACTACGTTGTAATCCATGTATGTAAAATGACCCGACATATGAACAATAGTCTTTTAATTCTTGTTGGTAAGTTGGGCTTTGATCTTTGAGATAATTGGTTTGAGTGCAATTCTTAATTCGGATCTTGACGCGTTAGAAGTTTGATTGGTGTTAGCTATAAGTAAAGATTAGTAATGCGATACGATAGAATAGATAGGCGTTGTCTGTATTGCATCATTAGACTTTCTAGTTAGCTGACATGTATATAAACTCCATGTATTCGTCCTCTTGTAAAGACAGGTTCTTTGCCTCGGGCTTTGTGTCTCAACGTTTTTGTTTGAGGTTTTTGTCTTGAGTAGACATTCCTCATGAATATATAATAAACTCATTGTCTTGTTATGCTTAGAGTTTAGTCGGATTTTATTTTGATTTTATTTTGTTTTGTAGTTTTTTCTTATTTTATTTTATCTTATACATTACATTCTGTCCCGACATATTTTACATTCATTTACTACCCTGAACTATCTTGGCACTGACCTCTCCCAAATTCGGATGGTAACACCGGACATGCCAAAACCCCATAAGAAATTTTTACACGTGATTGCACATGACTGCACGAAATATAGAACGTCCAAAGCACGGAATCTGCATACATGCAAAATCGACGAACACGCAATTGCATGAAATAATAAACGGCTACATACGTAACTATACGGAAAATCGCACGGAAATCACGTAAAAAAAGTACCTTTTTACGTGTCCAGTGCATGTTTCCCGCGTTATATTCCATATAGTTCTGTATACTCTCGTGCTGTCACGTACCCGTGTTTGACCATAAATTCCGTGCACCATTTTTTATACGGATTAGTTTCTATGACCTATGACATGCATACTTTAATTCTTAATATCTCTTACACTCTAATTTTTATATATTAATATTAGCCTGTATTTTAGATAAATTTTTGGATTTCAATATTAGCCTTCATATTTCGGTTTGCATTTTATACTATTGGTACGTATCTCAAATACCTTAAACACTTTCTTTATTCTTTTTTTTTTTTTGCTACTTTCGAATGAATTGTGTTTCATCAAATGATATGATGATTAATACTTTGAAATCCTATGTTTATGATTAATCAAATCGATCATGCAGAACTTAAGTAAAATTGATATTCGAATTAATATACAGACAGTAATTAACTTATTACGAACAGGAGGAAACGTCGATGTTACACAACTGAACCTTCAACATATAAAAAAATTATTTTACAATACCAGATCATTCCGCCAGTACATGTTATGATTATATTTGTTAGATGAAACCTCGAGGTTTCGCACTGACGAAAGTCGAAACCTAGTTTTGACTTTCGTCAATTAAAATCTCAAATGACGAAATGTCGAAATTGCCAAAAGGTGTTGAAACTGACAAAAAGTGTCGAAACTGACAAAAGGTGTCGAAACTGATGAAAGGTGTCGAAATGACGAAAGGTGACAAAAGGTAAAAAAACTGATAAAACTACAAATGTGACAAAACTAATAGAAGATGATAGATGATGAAGCAAGATAATGTTATTGAAGATAATGTGAATAAAAATAAATTATGAAAACATAAAGTTATAATAATTATTAAAATTTTATATATAATAAACAAGTGTAATTAAGGCTTTGTACATTTTATGTTCATAAAGGGTGTAAAAATCTTGATACAAAACTTATTCACCACTCCAGTAACAAACATTATGTAATTTAGACTATAGTTGTTAGACAAAACCTTTTTCGCATGGTGACAAAAATCGAATCCTCAAATTCTTCTGACGAAAGACGAAGTCCTAAACTTAAAATAACAAAAAATAAAAATAAAAAATAATTGTTATTTTCATTGAATTAACTTACAAGAGATCAGTATCTGAAGTTACGTTTATGCCAGCAAAAATAAACCAGTTCATTTTTTCTGGACAATACAGGGTTGGGTTGTCAGACCGGATGAAATAACCTTGTCAAAAAGCCATAGTACTTACTTATAAAATAACACAAATAACGAATTAAAAGCATACTGGCACAAAATAAATTTGTAGGATCACAAAATAAGTGCCAAGCGATTTCTTACTAGAACTGATATATAGTGTACTAGTATAATACATTATATAGAATACTCCCTTTAAACAATTCAAATGCTATTATGCAATAAAATTTTTTGTAATCTTTTATTGGTTTATACATAATCAATGACCCAGTAAAAAGTGTTTGTATACAAATTATATTGTTTTTATTTAGTTTTTGTAGTTGTTTGCTCAAATTTGTTTAAAATCTGTATAAATAAATAAATTTTTATTTTTTTAAAAAATTAAAATATCTAATTTTTGTATATATTTTGTTAAATAATTTAAATTTGTATAATAATATATAAATAAATTTTTATATAGTATATGTTTAAAAATAATTTATATATTGTAAATATAATATATTATTGTAATTTTATATAAAAAAAACTTTCAAGTAATAGAATTAATATAGTTTATAGCAAAAGTATTAACTAAGCATTATTTACTTAATAAATAGTTATAATTTCATTTATTACAAATTATTTACAAATATTGTAACAAAAACTGTACAAATTCTCATAATTGTATTAAAATTGTTATATTGGTTAACGATTTTTATATAAAAACTTTTTACTAGGTGATTTTCAGCAACATTTATTTGTATATTTATTGTCATTTAAGATTTTAATCAATGAAAGATGAAACTAGGTTTCATGTTTCATCAGCGCAGAACTTTGAAGTTTTGTTTAACAACTATATAAAGAGCTATATAACTTATAAAATTAGTTTTAGTAAGAAGCTTAATAAAAAGAGATCTGTTATTTAAGTAAATTAGCACAATAAGAAATTAATAATAAACAGATTATTTTATATATTTCAGTGTTTCGATTAAAAAATAATTATTGTCTATTGGCTTGAATAAAAAACAAATTAGAGCAAATAATAAATTAATAAGAGGTGCATATATTGTTTATTACAACTATTGTTATACCTGCCAGTTAAATTAGCATAATTCTCTTTATTTAAATATTTAAGAGGTGTTAATGGCTTATTTATCCATTTATAATTTCTGTTTTAAAAAACTAAACATGCAAGCCACATCAAGCCAACAAAAGATTCAGTATTAAATATAAATAAAAAGAAAGACTTAATAATAAAACATTGTTTTTTTGATTAAATATATAAATTTATAGAGTTAATGGCTTTGCTAAAAATTGATTTTCATTAAATTTTTTAGCGGGAGAACCAGAATTTGTTGAGCTTTGGTAATAACAGATTTTTTTTAGTAGGTTTACTTTTTTTTTTTTTTTTTTTTAGTGGGAGTACTAGGGTTTCGTCAAGCTAAATTTGGGGTTTTAACTTTCGTCAGAAGGATTTAAGAGTTTCGACTTTCATCAGAAGAATTTGAGGTTTTGACTTTTGGCAGAGGTTTCATCATTTAGGGCTCAGGTTTCAACTTTCGTCATCAAGCAAAAATGGTTTTGTCTAACAACTATAGTTATGATTATAATCCTTCACCATTTATTATAATAAAAATAGTGTAGAATTATAATCATAACATGTACTAGAGGAATAATCTGTTACTGTAAAATATTTTTTTATATGTTGTATGTACATACACCAGGTAAAGGATCAGTCCCTCCTGTTTACTGTATGTTGTAAAAGGGTAAATCGTGGTTTGGAATGAATTTTTTTGTACATAGTAGATCAAATGCATATTAGATTTAGAAGTTGTGTACATTTTGTACATAGAAGCCGTGTATATTTTGTACATGGAAGCTGTGTACATTTTGTATATAGAAACTATATATATTTTGTATATAGAAGTTATGTACATTTTGTACATAATGATTAACATCAAAGAGGAAATTTGTTAGATAGTGAACATAGCCTAGTTGCAATAACAAGCTTTAATAAAAGATAACTAAGTTAGAAGTTAGAGTTAGAGTTGGTAGAACTCAATAGAGTTTGACTTATAAAAGAGTCTAGTATTTTGATTTTAAAAGTTTCGCTCCAATTACCCACCTGATAAGTCAAAATTAGTAGTCTAAACACGTGATTCTGAAGTAGAGCCTTGTGATGTAACCCTGAAACTAAGAAAATACTGAGATAAAGAATAGAGAAGAAACGTTGGTGTTAGAATTACTCAAAGACAATACAAATACTTAACCTAAGGAAGCAAAAGGAGATATTTGAATATTAATATTGTCCCTACAAAGCCAAAAGCTCTAAAAACTCAGACCAAGTCTTTTCGCACTTGGAGCCACAGTGTTATGATCAATTCATAACATAGTATAAGTTTTCTAAATTGGTAATTGATACTATGTATTAATTTCTAGATTTAGTAATTTATTACTTAGTATTA